GATCTCTGACCCACTCAAAGGACTTTTCCAATAACCGTAACATTAATATGAAGGAATTACCTCCCCCTCTGAGCAAAGGGTGAACTGTGGCAGATTATCTTTCAAAAACAGCTGCAATATACCTTGTTGTACGTGTTCTTCCATATTTTTTATTGAATTTATTGGGGTAACATTGGTTAGTGAAATTATATAAGTATAAAATGTACAATTTAATAAGAGCACATCATTTGTTATTGTACTGTGTGTTCACCACCCCAAGTCAAGTCTCCTTCCATCACCATTTATCCCTCCTCTACCCTATACCCTCTTCTGCCTGCCCCATCCCCTCCTGTCTGTTAATCACAGCACTGTTGTCTACATCTATGAGGTGTTGTGTTTATTTGCTTAATCTTTTCTTTTTCACTCAGCCCCCCAACCTCCCTCCCTTCTGACAGCTGTCAGTCTGTCATATCTATGAGTCTGTTTCTATTTTGTTCATTAGATTTCTCATATAAGTGAAATTATATGACACTTGTCTTTCTCTGACTGGCTTGTTTCACTTAGCATAATAATCTCCAGGTCCATCCATGCTGTCAAAAAATGTAAGATTTCCTTCCTTTTTATGGTTGAGTTGTAATCCATTGTGTAAATGTACCCCAGGTTTTTTTATCCACTCATCTACTGATGGGAACTTGGGCTGCTCCAAAATCTTGCCTATTTTTGCCAAACAACAGTGCCATGCACTCCTAGAGAAGTGAGATGGTTACTTTAACCCTCTAGATTTCTCAGCCTCTACCATTCCCCAGCCCCACTCAGCCATGAAAAGCAGGGCCAAGGCCCACCCCTGTGGAGTCACCCAACCATGAGGACTGGGATGCCACAGCTTCCCAACTGTCTCCAGGTGAGCTCCAGCAGAGTCTAGCTGCCCCTGCCCAGGCTTGGTGTGAGTCCTCAGAATCTAAGAGCCATTCAGCCCACTTTCACTCTCTGGGGTTCCTCCCCAAAGGTGATGGGCTTCAGCCTCAGATCTTGGTCTCCCTTCCAGCTCCTCCAGGCCCCAGCCCCAGTTGTCTGGGGCCATCTGCCCAGCCGTCCCAGTTCCTCTTCTCCCCTTTTTACTCCCTCTGGCTAGAATGCAGAGTGGCGTGCCACTCCCTACAGCTAAAATAAACAAAGATAAGCAAGAAAAGTGGAAAGCCCTGAATGTGCCCTGAGAATGAGGGCACAATTAAAAGGTGCCTTTTTTTTAAATGGGAGAACTCATAGGGTTTCCCCCACTGGAAAGCTTTTAATAGAAATTACTTCCAGCCCACAGCAAGACATGCCTTTATTCAAGATGGATTGGTTTTCAGGAAGGCCCATGGCAAGGTCTGTGCAGCTAAAGAGTTGAACTGTCCTGGGGAGCCAAATGGACAGCCAGAGCATCTGGAGATGTGCCCTTAGTGATGGACATGCTGTGACAAGGCACTGACATGCCACATCCACCCTCAAGGATTATGGAGAATTCCAAACGAATTGCCTACAAGTTCATCTGAAGGGAGGTGGTCAGGGCACAGTTGGCAAAAACAGCCACTAGATTTTATGACGTAGCTGTTTCAGCTGGCTTAAGTTGTTGTTGTTTTTTTTCCCCCGCAATCAACAATTAACCCCTTCTTAGAATGTTCTGGAAAATGAATATCTTATGGGGTCCATTAAGCATTTATCTCAGATCCGGCTTGTTGTCTACATGCTTCCTACCAACAAATAAGAATCTCCAACAGGTAATGGCATTTGTGTAAACAGCTTATGTAAAATTCATTGATTCATCCAACACCCTTTTATGGAGTTTTTCCTAGGTACAAGGTTTGGTTACTTTCTTTAAAGAACTCATTGTACTTGGCTTTATCATTATTAAGAGTGAAGAGGTAGGAAGACAATGAGCTGAAGACCTCAGATCTTGCCCTGAAACTACAGAGATTTACCATTCTTCTCTCTTCTGCTCTGGGCATGCACTGGCCCATCCTAATCTTCTATGCCACCCTTCCACTGGGCTCCTTGGAGTTCACATTCTGCCATCACCAAAAGCTTCTAGAGCCTTGCCATCTTCCCTGAGCCTTCCCTTTAACCTCTTGCCCTGACTCTGGAACCACCTCTCCTTCAGCCCCAGCAAGTGAAGGCTGTTTTGTTCTTTCACAGTTATCCTCCTTGCTTCCCATTACCACTTCCAAGCCAATTTTTTAACCTCCTACCTTCAACCCCCCCCCCCCCCCCCCAGTGAAACACCAATGGGGAAGAAACCCCCTCCCCCCCCCCCCCCCCCCCCCAGCTCCTTTGAAGTTCATGCTTCCAAACTAAACCACCTCAACCCTCCTCTGATCTAACATCTAACAATTCCTCTTACTCATGGAAGTTTCTAGCATCTGGTTCCCTATCTTTCTCTCCACCCTGGAGACTTTCTAGTGGTGATCTACCACTAGCTGTGTGAATGTCTACAGAAAAGAGTAAAAAGAGAGGAGTGCAGTAATGTAACCCTTCTGGGCAATTTCAACACATATACAGATGACTCATCCAACTCTTGGCATCGCTACTCTTTGACTTCATCACCTCCATTTATCTTTTCCTCCAATACTACTCTCTCCCAGAGTCACTCTCCTGACTTGTCATCACCAATAAAAGTACCACCTCAGAAACCTTCCTGGTCATTTACCTATTCACAGACACACCCTTCCAAGCCATCACGCCTGCTTCTGCATGGAGATTTTCAGTCCAGAAGCCACTGTTTCCTTATCCAGTAACCCTCTCAAGTTACTACCTTCCTCTTTGCCTAAATTACATTCTGTAATCATCATTAGAGTCACTGCCTGGCAACCTCCCCCGCTTCCTTTCCCCTCCCCCTTCCCATGTGATCACCTGATTAAACCCCAACTCAGGTTAAATCCACTCATTCACCTATTTCATGCCTTTACCTAAATAGCAGATTCCTGCTCGTGCAAAATGTACAACTTTGCCAACAGGTCTCACAGTGAATTCCTGAAAACCACAAGATTTAGTGGGCCTTTCCTGGACAGCCCACCACACTCCCAATGTATGCTCCACCACTCTTGAATATAACCATCAGGGACTTTCTTTTACTAGTATGTCCTCAAACCACCCACACTCCTCTTCTTGCTTCATTCCCAGATGAGTATCTTGTCTGATATTTTACTGAGAAAATAGGAGCAATCAGAAAATCTACCATCTTCCTACCACCAATTCTCCCAATTTACCCTTATGTTGCCAAATCCTTGCTTTCCCTCCCACTAAAGTAGATGAAGTATTTCTACTCCCAACTAGAGCCAACATTTCCCTCTTACCTTCTCAAGGTTGTCACCACTGCACTTGTTCCTTTTCTCAAACTCTGAAGAGAACCCCAAAGGCATATGCTTACACCCAAGTATCTCCTAAAGCAGTGATGGCGAACCTTTTGAGCTCAGCGTGTCAGCATTTTGAAAACCCTAACTTAATTCTGGTGCCGTGTCACATATAGAACTTTTTTGATATTTGCAACCATAGTAAAACAAAGACTTATATTTTTGATATTTATTTTATATATTTAAATGCCATTTAACAAAGAAAAATCAACAAAAAAATGAGTTCGCATGTCACCTCTGACACACGTGTCATAGGTTCACCATCACTGTCCTAGAAGAACCTCCCTGATCTCATTGCACCTCTCTTGGGCAAGGCCAGGACTAGGGAACAAGAGAGGCACCAAGGGCACCTGTGAGTGTGCCCTTACATGTCAAGCCTTCCTGCCAGTCCTGGTGCTGTATCTGTGTTCTTCCAAGGCATTCTCTGGTCTCTTTTCATATCTTTTCCCCAGACAAGGACAAACTTCCATGTCTTCTACATCCATCACAATTATAATTAAATAATTATGTAATCATTTGTTTGATGTCCATCTCCCCTACTATCATATAAGCTCCTCAAAGGCAGGGAATAGATATACCACATTCACTACTGTAACACCTCTCTGTTTCTCAGTTTCCCTGTCTATAGAATGGAGATAATTATGTACCCAATAAATGTTTCATTTTATTATCATAAATATTATCTAGCAATTTCCCAGCACATGGGAAGTACTTCATCAAAAATTGTTGAATAAATAAATGAAAAAATAATTCCAGAGCTAATGTATGGGTGGAGATTCAACAGAGTTGAGTGCTTTTCTGAATGCAGTAAAATATGAAAAAGTGAGCCCAGCCGACTCAGTGGTTGAGTGTTGACCTATGAACCAGGAGGTCACGGATCGATTCCTGGTCAGTCCACATGCCTGGGTTGCGGGCTCAATCTCCAGTGTGGGGTGTGCTGGAGGCAGCCAATCAATGATTCTCTCTCATCACTGAGGTTTCTCTCTCTCTTTCCTCCTCTCTCTCCTCTCTCTTTCTCTCTGAAATCAATAAAAATAAATTTTAAAACATGAAATAAGAAAACAAAAAAAATTTTTTTAAAGTAATAGTAAAATGACCTAAGGATACAAGTCTTCCCCTTTTTGTTGAAATTTACTCCATACCTTCCTCTCCCTCATTAGTAGGTATCTTCATTCTGGTACTCATGGTGTCTATCATCAAGGCAGGTCAAACTGGCCCTTTCCTTCCCAGCCAAGGGGGCCATGCCGTGAAATCTTTGGTAAAACAAAGTCATTAGAGCAGCTTTCTGTTGGCACAGTGGGAAAGGCTTACCAAAGCTCTTTAGGGAAAATAAAAGGCCTAGAGACAGTTCTGCCTGTTGCTACAACAGAGTGGTTACCAAAGAAACAGCCCCACCCCTCTCTGCCCTTGAGGACCTTCCGGCTCCTCCCAGGCCCACTCCACTTTTTTATTTTTTTATTTTTAACAGATCCTGCCTCAGGTTTATTATTATAAATAGTACAGGACACCAGCTCCATGGAGATAGCAGCCCAGGGGTCATTCCAGTCCTTTCATCCTCACATTGGCAGACAGAGACTTCTACTGAGGAGCTTTTGTGGGGGCCGGGGCACCTTAGGGAGCCTGAACCTGAGCCTACGCCTGAGCCTGAGCCTGAGCCTGAGCCTGAGCTGGAGCTGGATCCAAAGCTGGGGCTTGGTTTGAGCCTTGGCCGTGGGCTTTGGCCCGCAGAGCCTGGGTGATGCAGGCACTAGCACGTTTCCCTAGCTTGGGGTGAGCAATGTAGGCAAATGGACTGGGCCTGTGGCTGCCACACTTTGGGGTGCTGGGCTTGACCGCCTTGGGCTTTACAAGGGCCTTAATGGCCTTAACACGTGTGCTCATGGCCTTGGCGTTGTTGGCTTGCATCTTCGGGCCCTTCTTGTTGTGCTTCTTGGCAAAGCGCATGTTTCTCAGGAACTTGGGGTCTACACCCTTAAGCAATTTATATCTTTGTGATCAGGGTTTCTTGATGTCATTTCTGTACTATTTTCAGGAATGGTTTTGCCTGGTGTGGGTCTTGGGCTTGGCAACTCTTCAGGTTTCCCTTGGGGTTGAGCTGGTCTAATATTTGGTTTTACCCCAAAGGTGCTATGGCCTTCCTTGTTCCCCTCTCTTGGAGTATGACCCAAACTCAAATGGCTGCAGAGATAGGAGTGGGAAAAACAGCCCCGAGTTTCCCAGCTTTCTAAAACTGACCCATTGTCTGACTCACTCTACCCATCAGTCTTTGCTTCAAGGTGACCTTGTTGCAGACCATGGGTCTTGGCAGATGCCTCCTTTCCTCAGCTCCCTGAGGAAGACCTGTGTCTTTGTTAGGAAAGGAAGTTCTTTGAGCCAAACATGTTCCAAATAGAAAGCTCTTTAAATATTTGTTTTAAAATAGGAATTAATAGAAAAACATAGACTCCTTCCAAATAGCCTTTCCTTTTTATTATTATTCTGAAGGGTCCCTCCTGATCAAAAGGAATAGGAGCTTTTCAATGGGAGCAATTCCTAAATGACTTGATTTCCAGTTACAGAAACATCTTTTTTTTTTCTTGTCAGAAATTCAATGTTGGCTTTAACTAAACTTTGAAAACTCATAGCAATAATGGTGCTCCTTGTCATTCTGTCTTTTACAAGGGACCCCAGCTGGTATGCTGGGTGTAGGGGCAGAAAAACATCCATTACTGCTCCAAGCACCCTGGCTGGGTTGCAAACATCCTTGTTGAGTGTTTCATTCTGTGATGGAGTGAACTGCAGCAGTGACTGAGACACAGTAGTATGTCTAGTGCCTTGCCCACTTCTTAGCTGTGTGATCTCAGACATGTTACTGCTCCTCTCTGAGCCACAGTGTCCTCATCTTTACCATGAGGATAATACTGCCTTCCTTACACCATTACTGTTAAGAATCACATTGAGATAATTTATGTGAGGTGCCTCATATGGGGAATGGGAGTTACAACCAAAGATTCAGGAGAGGTGGCCTGCATACAGGTTCAGTCTGGGGGTGTGGAGGGAGGCTGGGGGAGGAAACTGCTTGCCACTCAAGGGCACCAGACTCCTTACTGCCTAATTGTCCACTAGGTCCATCCTGCTCAGACTTCCTATCTTTAATATCTTAAGAGGTTCACGTACTAGAGACTTTATTAGGACATGTACAGGTCTCACGAGGGATGTCTGAACCCATAAGATGGAATGGAAACTATATGTAATGTAATGTAGTAACTACAAATTGAGTTAGCTAAAAATTGGGGTTAACTAAAAATGGGTAGTGGGGTGGCCCACCCGGGATCTTTTCCCCTCTTCTTCACTAAAAGAAGCTGTCAAATCACAGTTGAGCAAGTCTTCAGGGCCACTCCTTGCTATGAGGATGTACTCCAGGGATGCCCCTGCTCTGGGGAAAACACCTTTCATTTGACTAGGGAAATTACTGCTTTGTGGCATGCAAAGGTCTAAGGAAGATTTGCACCATTTATACAAGAATCCCAGTGGGTCTCCTGGGAGAACGAGAACTGATTGTATCTCACCAATAACAACCATGGCCAACATCAGCATCGGTCACCACCACCACCAACACTCCCTTTTCTACCACCACCCACCACCTCTACCTCTACCACCACCACCACTTTCACTTCCATCACACAGCCTACCACCACTACCACCAAGATACAACATCCTAACTCAGGATAACCACCGCCACTGATGGCATAACCACCACTAATCATCACCACCGCCACCATCACCACCTCCATTACACAGTTCATCACCATCATCACCACCATCTCATAAAATTCAGATCTTTAAGTTTGAAAAAGGGGATCTTGGCCTAAGCCCATTGGCCCAAAACCCTAAAATAAAGAGAGAGAAAGAAGACAGAGACAGCAACGGAGAGCTATAGACTGACTCTGATCCTAAAAGGGCAGAGAAGAAGGAAAATGGTAGTTTTGCCCTTTTGAGACCCTGGGTCTTAGGATCTATCTACATCCTGCTAATGAGCAGAGTATGTGTGTGGGAGAAAAAAAACAACTGGCCTTTGGGAGCTCAAACCCTTTAAGGCTTGGGGAGCCCTTCTGACCAAGAAAATGGAGTGTTGTTCCTTCTTAAGGAGCAGCTGGGTCCATCAATCTTAAGCCAACCAGCTCATTAGGCAAACAGTTCCAACTCCACCCTCTTGGGACAGTCTGTCACCAAAGGCGATGGCAGGGTGAGATAATCCAGTAGGCAAATGGCCCCAGTGAGGGCGAGCCTTGCAGGTGGTTAGACACAAAGTCTTGGCTTTCTAATATTTCTGGTAAATGGAAGAGGCCCAAGGCTTTCTTTTTAGGGCCTAAGGAGACATGTTAATCCTATCTCAAATAATAAGAAGAGAGACAGGCCCTGGTCGGTGCTCAGTGGTTAGAGCATCAATTCCTGGTCAAGAGCACGTACCTGGTTGCAGGCTGGATCCCTGGTCCCTGTTGGGGTATGTGTGGAAGACAACCAATGTCTCTTTCTCTCTCTCCCCCCTCACCACCTACCTACCCCCTCACCCAAACCCTTCCTCCATCCCTTCTATTCTCTCTAAAAATCAATGGAAAAAATATCCTTGGGTGAGGATTAGCAAAAAAAAAGACAGAATCAGGGACAGAAAAACGCAAATCTGCAAATCAGAAGCAATATCTATACCATGTGATTCTGGTATGAATTTCCAACCTCTACCAAGTGAGAAGCAAAGGATTCGCCTTTAGACAGTGGGCAAGGATGTTTGTGTCCTGGCCCAATCTTCGTTCTTCTTTCACCAGCTGGTTCTATAATCCTCACAGATCCTCCTTTGGGGGGATCCCCAGTTTTTAGGATCCAGGAAGGGCATTTTCTGGAATAAAAGTGCCCTGTATAGCTGGGCTTTCTCACTGAGATGACACAGGATTGCCACACTCTCCAACTTCAGTTGCTCATGGTTCTGACCTAAAGATATGGAGCTTTATGAGTTGTACTCGTAGCTTTAATTCCACCTTTGCTATTGGATCATTAAGGGAGTTGGCCCTCCTTTCCCAAGTGGGCTGGGCAATGCCTGCTCCTTGGTTTACTGGGAATGGCCTTGGGCTGCCGGAGCTGCTCAGCAGTCTGCCTCTGCCTTGGGTAGTCTCTCTCCGCCTCACAGGAGTATAAGGAGACTTTGAAGCCTGCCCTGTTTATTGGTGACAAGAGATATACTAGTAAACAGCCTGCAAAGGCCTCTCCTGAGTCATTATCAGCTCTGGCAGAAGTTTAGTTGATGCACTGACAGCCGCCCCCTCCTCCCCACCCCCCAGCTAGAGCTGTCTGAGGATTTTATTCTTATGTTTTGTTATTTAACTCTTTCCTATCCACTTCTATGCAAACTCCTTAGGGCCTACACCCTGCCCAGCTCAGTTGGGACCCAGGAACCCAACCTGGAACCCTGAATCTAATTCAAAGCACCACCAGGGCAGCTGCCCCTGTGAGCACAGTGAGTGACAACAAAGGTCCCAGATAGACCTGTAGCCCCAAGGCCTCCAACTGCCTGCATCTAACATGTTAGGCCAAAGCTTGAAAAGTTTTTAGTTTATGAAATACTCAGCTCCTAATATCAAAACCACCACTGCAGAGACCCTGTTTAAAACAGAAGAAATCTATACACAGAAAGAGAGTTGAATTATGAACATTGTAGTTTTGGACTGATTATCAGTTTATTTTGTTTGTTTTTAATATTATCAGCCTTGGCAAGAATCTCTGTTGTGTTCAGGCAATTTTATGTGCAATATTCATATGTGTGCCACAATTTCAAAATTTTTGTTTTGCAACCAAAAGCCCTGAGGATCTTTTGAAGAAAAACACAAATAAGCACAAGAGAAATAATGCAGCAATGATAAGATCCCCGAAGAGCCCACACAGAGAAACCAAAGGAAATGAGTTCCTATGTGTCCTGTTCTAGTTCCAGCTAAGTTCTCTTCAGAGAACTGAGATCAAGCATGTGTGTGTGTGTGTGTGTGTGTGTGTGTGTGAGTATCTCAGTGTGTGGGGGGTTGTAAATGTGTATGTAAGTGTAAGTGATGGGAGTGTAAATATAAGTGAAAGTGTGGTTATGTGAGTGTGGATGTGAATATATGAGTGTGTGTGAGCAAAAATGTAATTGTGTGGTGCATTTGTATAATAGTGTGGTTTATGTAATGTGTGTGTGCACACTTGAAGTGTGCGAGCATAAGTGTGTACACATAGAAGTTGTGAATGTGAGTGCATGGGTGTAAGCTGGGTCTGTGGATCTAAGTGTGTGTGAGTTGTATGAGTGTGAATGTGAATGTGTGAGGGTAAGTTGAGTGTAAATGTGAGTGTGTGTGTAAATTGTGTGTGAATGTAAGTTGTATGTACTAATGTGAGTGTGAGTGTGAGTTGTATGAGAACGTGCATTTACCACAAAAGAGGACCCACAGATGCAACTTGACGGGATCTCAACTTTGGAAGTCAATCATTTCTGAGCTCAAACACCAGCTTGTCCAGGCTGGTGAGTCTGGCTTGGGAATGGGGAATGGCTACAAAGACCATATGTCCTAATTGGCCCAAGACAGACCTCATTTATGCCTGTGGTTCTGGCATGATTATCAAAATTTTGAAACCATACTGATATTGTGGCTGAGGTATAACTTACATCAGTACACACCTTGAGGGTACAGCACAATACATTTTTTCATATGCACACACCCATGCAACTATCTTCCAGATTATGATATAGAACATTTCTAGTACACTCCGCCCCTCTTCGCTCTCAAAAAAAAAAATTGGTTCAATCACCCCAGGAAAGTCTTGCCAGGGTTTCTCCTCAGTCCACCTGAAGGAGAGTGGGTTTCATTGCCCATCAACATTATACCATCTTCTGGTCTTTGCATAATATTTTATACATGCTGGAGAGCCAAAGTAAATGTGTTGCA